GTTCCATGTCACCACCCCTTCGAAACTGTGGTATATGTTCTATTACCGTAAAATCCAAGTCTGCTATGGAATGTGCTGCTTCATTGAAATGACGAGCTACCGGAGATTTGATGTCCTTTCTCCTAATGGAGCTCATATGTTCGATATTCGATAATACGCGTTCTGATTGATCTACAATTTTTTCCCACATACTGTTTATGACACACACAAGTCAACAGATAAATGACATTAGTAGATGCACAAGTGGTAAACGGTCTCATACAATACACTCGCTCTGTCACGCAACTCTTGAAAGACACTTGTTTTCTCCGTATATATTTACAAGCGGCACATTTACGACAGGCAAAAAAGCCTACTTCATTACCAATACGATCTCTTTTCTTGTTACCCGCAAAAGTGTCTGATTTTACAAGATAATCTCTTATGTTCTTCGCTCTATAATGCGAGAATAACGGGGGGTCAGAAAAAAGGCGTGCACATACAGGATCGCTGGTTAGAATGTGCCAATGTTTTTTTAAGCCCATCCTTAATCTCATGACTATGTTTTGAATATGTTGTAGAACAGACAACCGAGAATGCATTCGATTTTACTTTATTAATCCGTGCATTAGATAAGGTTTCATGTTGCACATTTACTTCTCCTGAAGACCCTCGAATCCTCTCCAGTGCATCATCCAACCACATATTAGGATAACCCCTAAGGGTAAACTGTTTATACATTCCCACAATCTGTTTCTCAAACTCAAGAATTCTCCACGCAAATTCGGTTTAAACAGAGAAATTGCGTATAAGGCAATGCCTTCTTCAAATAGTTTGGATGAGCACTTGTAGCGTGCAAAAGGCTGTTTTTATCAGTAGGCTTTGTATATAGTGTGGAGATCAAGGACCCTGATTTGAAAGAAACTCTAGTATCAAGAAAAGATACAGAAACGGTATCCACCTCTACATTAAATTTAATCGAATCCACCAAATTGTTAAGATGCAAGATACAATCATCTAGCTTGTTCCTGGAACCCTTAAAAATACAGAATACGTCGTCAACATATCTTTTCCACAACACAATGTTACTCAAAAATGGATTATTATCCCAAATGTACCTCTCTTCCAAAAAGCCCATAAATAGACATGCATAATCAGGAGAAAACTTAGAGCCCATAGCTGCAGCACCCTGTTTCTGTAAGAAATATTCATCCTCAAACATGAAATAGTTTTTCTCTAAAAGCAATGAGATCCTATCCAAAACAAACTCGGAAGGAGGAGATTCCTCATTCCTTTGCTCCAAGAAAAACTTCATAGCCTTGAAATCTTCCTTATGGGGAATATTCGTATATAGCGAGACAACATCCATGGTTGTAAGATAGAGTTCGGACACATCCTGCTCAAAATGTATGTTATTCAACTGCTTTAGAAAGTCACCTGTGTCCCTTAAATACGACGGAAGATTCTCCACTAAAGGTCTCAAAACTCGATCTACATATTGAGACATAGGTTCTATCATAGGATCATTCAGGTAACAGCACAGTATTAAGAATCTTTTGAACGGGGTCATTTTTATAAATTCAACTATTATTTTCTCTTGTGGGCTATATGTAAATGTCTTTTATGTGAAATGTCTTATTCAGGTCAGTACTAAATAAACAATAACATGCATTTTGTATGATCCCTCTTATTTTGGTCAAATAATTAGCATTTAGCAAATTCTGAAAGGGGGATGTAAACTTTCGACCTCAACTGTAACGGCACTAAGCCACATTGTGATTTTCTCAAAGGCTGCAATGTAATTAAATAAATGCATGTGATGCATGAAGTGTGGCACTGTGTTCATTTACATGTGAACATTTTGTGCCGGTGTTTTCAGTGTCTCGGTTTGCAGTAAATGTTGCTTTGTAAATG